GCTGTGCATGCACCAGACCTGGCATTAGGATTGGGAGATAAGAGTGGTTTCATGACTGGTTAGAGGTAACCATGACACAGTTCATTGCGATAAGTCCCCACGTTATCCAGGCATTTCTTTGTCTGTTTGTGGCTGGGTCTCCTGTAGCCCAGGCTACCCTGATTCTCTTATCTCTTCCTTCCAATACCGGGTATGAGCCAACATACTTTTGGTTTTCAAGTTTTTACTTCACTTATTTATTTTTGGTTTTCATTCATCTTGCTTTTTACGACAAGGTCTCACTCTAATCCAAGCTGGTGTGGTATATCTTACTTCATATCCCAGGCTCTCCTTCAACTTCCAGCTTCCCTCCTACCTCAGGGCCAAGATTACAGGTGTGAGCCACACACCTGGCTGACCAGACACTTCTAGCCCACAGTTTTGTTTTTTTATTCAGTCTCTTGCTGCCTGAGAGCTTTCTACTTGCTCTCCTTCCCTCTCCTCCCCACTGAGGTCACTTCCCTGAGTTGTGAAGTCGTGAGAGGAAGTGCCTTTTGTTTGCAGTTCTGGCAGAAACTTCCAGTTCAACTTAAGAGTTTCCAAACCCAGCTGCCTCATCCCTACCCAGCCTGGTTGGCATGTAGTATTCCCGATCCCACCTTTCTGATGTGCTGTGGAACCATGTGGAGGAATGTCTGAAATCTTGGGATCCAAGCCTGGGTTTTCCCCAGCAACTGGTGTGACTAAGCACAGGACCGTGGGGCCCCAAGGGAGGGGGAGAGTGCTTGGTCCCAGAGGCACAGTGACATTCCCCCATGTACAGCCTCTGGAGAAACAACTTACCCTGGCTTTAATGTGACCCATTGTCAAGAGAGTTCCGGTTTGAGTTTGGTTTGGAGCTGGAAGTAATCATGTCACTTGCGCATTCTGCTATTTCCCTGTACACTGAAAATATGTGTTGCTTTTATTGGTTAATGAATAAAGCTGATTTGGCCTATGATCAGGCAGAATAGCCAGGCAGAAAATCCAGAGATACAGAGTAACAGAAGGCAGGCTCAGGGAGATGCCATGTAGCCTCCTGAGAAGCAAAATGTGAGGTAACAAGCCACGAGCCTTGTGGTAAAATATAAACTAATAGAAATGGGTTATTTTAATTGTGAGGGCTTGTTAGTAATATGCCTGAGCTATTGGCCAGACAATTATAATTAATATTAAGCCTTAAAGTGGTTATTTGGGAACTGGTGGGTGTAATGAAAACCTCCATTTACATATGGTGCCCAACATTGGGTGCAACTTGTAGTGAGAAATCCATGTGCATCTGTTTAAGATTTATTAATTTATTTAAGATTTAAGATTTATTAATATATAAAAAAGCAAAAAATACACTCATGAATACAGGATATGGTAAATCCAGTTCCAGAGTCCTTGAAAAGCTGGGGACTGATCACACACTTACCACCCAAGAGAGATAGACCTCCTCCTTTTTAAGAGGTTACATTGGCAGGCAAGAAGTACCGTCTCTATCAGGCCAGATAGCCCAAGGTCATGGGCAGAGTGAATACTCATACAGGCCACAGGAAGTTTCTTTGAAAATTCTCAACAATAAGTGACTCTCACTATGTAGCTCAGGCTGCCTTCGGACTCGTGATACATCTTCCTTAAACTCTTAAGTGTCCCGGTTTGCGCTGCCACACTAGCTTTCTATACATCTTCAGCTCGGGCACCTTCAGTAGGTTTTGTTGTTGTTGCTGTTTCTTTCTTTTGGTTTTTTGAGGCAGGGTTTCTCTGTGTAGTTCTGGCTGTCCTGGAACTCACTCTGTAGACCAGGATGGCCTCGAACTCAGAGATCCACCTGCCTCTGCCTCCCGAGTGCTGGGATTAAAGGTGTGGACCACCAGTGCCCGGCCTCAGCAAGGCAGCTCAGGATGGAAAGTCATTTCCCACCTAGCCTGCCCACCTAGGCCCACGTGTTAGGAGGAGGGAACCAATGCCCACAAGTCCTCCACTGCCCTGCCCTCCATGTATGAGATGTGGGCCATGCTCAGGCACACTCTCACAATACACATACATGTAATAAATATAAAAAAAAGTATTCTGCTGCATGCTGGCCCCGCACAGAGGGGTAGACACAGGTACAGAAGTGTTCTCCTCAACACCAAGTCTAAGGATGGGGCTTGTCCTGTGTGCCATCCCCAGTACAGGCTGACAGCTTCCCGCCCTCTGCTGCTAGAACCCTGCACACTCCATCCCGAGTCGGGCAAGGCCTTTGGTGAACAGCCCAACAGCATTTCTCCCACAGTTGTAATGATCCACAGCCTTCCTTGACGCAACACTTGCAGAGAGCTGCAGGAGAGACTGCCACTCTGGGTGGCTTAGAAACATCAGGTCAGGGCTGGAAAGATGGCTCAGAGGTTAAGAGACTGGCTGCTCTTCCAGAGGTTCTGAGTTCAATTCCCAGCAACCACATGGTGGTTCACTACTATCTGTAATGAGATCTGGTGCCCTCTTCTGATGTTCAGGTATACATGCAGGTAGAATACTATATACATAATACATAATCTTAAAGAAGAAAAAAAAAAAAAAAAAAAAAAAAGGAAAGGAATGTCAGGTCATCCAGTTCATCCCTGTGGAACTTGGCCCCTGCCTCTGTGTCAGTAGATTTGGAGAAGGGTAGTGTTCCCTTTGGGATGTGCTGGATCTCCACCTACTTCGATCAGCACATAAAACTCCAGTGACCTCAAGTTCTGGCCCTCACTCCTGACTGGGATGCTTTGTTATCATTTTATGAAGTAAAATACCTTTGTCCTCTTTTTGGGTTTTGTTTTTATGTGAAGAACACAAGCTATTGGGCTTCTCCTAGCTTTAGCTTTATAATTTCTGAACGCAGGACCCTGCCCTATTTATCCCTTTCTCTTCGTTCACCTTCTCAGTGCACATATGTGTGCATCGTGCCAGCTGCTCTTCCCTGGCGTTGCTATGGAGGAAGCAAAGAGTGTGAGGCAGTGGGGAACGCTGGTGACCACTGGGTATCAGGAGCCGCAGAGTGGAGCTGTGGATAATATGCAGATACTGGAGTTGAAGGGTGAATGTAACCTGGGGCCTTCTGAGTCTTAACCCTTACATGTGTGTGGGAAGGGAAATACTTATTAAAATTGCTCTCATTTTTTCCCAGGCCCCCATTTCTAAATATATCAAATGAGATAATGTCGGGAGCAAATCGAGTTATACTAGGCTCATTTTACAATGTTAAAATAACAAAGGGCTTTATTTCTTTAAAGACATGTTTATGTGTGTGAGTGTTTCACCTGCATTGTGTAAGGTGTACCACATGTGTGCAGTGCCCCTAGGGGTCAGGAGAAGGTGATGAATCCCCTGGAACTAGTTACGGGTGCTTGTGAGTGGCCATGTGTGTGCTAGGAACTGAACTCTATACTTCTACAAGAGCAGCAAGTGCTCCTAACTACTGAGCTATCTCTCCAACTGCCAGGACCATACGTTTTTGTGTCATGTTAAAAATAAGTATTACAGCTAGGCATGGTGGCACACCCCTTTAATACCAGCACTCAAGACAGAAGCAGGTGGGTCTCTGTGAGTTCAAGACCAGCCTGGTCTACAGATAAATTCCAAGACAGCCAAAGCTGTTACACAGAGAAATCCTGTCTCACCCCTACATACATGCGTGCGCATTCACGCACACGCGCGCACACACACACACACACACACACACACACACACGAAGGGGGGAAAAAGTATTACATGGTTCTTCCTTTTCTGCCCACTATGGAATGCATGCACACAGCTAAAAAGGAAGACTTCTTGGGGCTGGGGTTGTAGCTCAGTGGCAAAATGTTTACCTGGTATGTTCCAAGGCCTCTGGCACTGCCCTCCCCAACCCCTACCCAAAAACCATCAGAAAGACTTTCTCTCCTTTGCCTGTTATTCTCTCAGAACTGCTAGCTGGCTCTTTCTAGTGGATAAGGCAGAGCCCTGTGTATACTGGGCCTACCCTGTGCTGGCAAGAACAGGCCAGGCTAGGCAGTGCCTAAGATAGATGGCCTGCATCTAAGATGAGAGTGTGGAGGGCCTGGAACTAGGGCTTACTGTGTATGAGCCCAAGGTCACAGCAGGCTTTGTACTGCCGGATCAGCAAGTGGTATTATCAGAAGTGTCCAGTGAGTTCACTATCAACACTATCCATTGCCTCATTTTGTCCTCCAACTGCCCTTTGTACTGAGTAGCCTTACCCCCATTTCTTAAGCCAAGAAAGTAACCCTCTGGGTCAGTATTTTAGCTCAAGCCTGTGCAGCTGTAAAGCTCCAAGATTTTCATACTGCGGGCTCTGCCGACTGTGGCCCCGAGGTGGGCAGAGCTGGCATGTAAGTTGTTCCATCTAGCTGACAGTAAAGCACAGACCACAGAAGAGGGGGCATCCGTGCATGTCCAGTGTGCTGTGTGGACCAGTCATGTGATTGTGGCAGATCTTTACCCCGAGAAAGCTGCTAACCCCGGCCAAGGTTATAAGAGAAACTGAGCAAGGATACAGAAGAGAGTTTGGACTGTGTGCACACTCACACTCAGGGTAGATTCCGTGCATACTAGGGCAACTCTTCCTCGGTTTGCTTTAAAATACAAGCACTGATAATAGCATTTATCTCCTATGATCTCTGAAGATTAAAGAAGACAGTGAGGGTTTGGGAGGTTACTAAAACACTGCATGGGACAGTTAGTCAAACCTGTGAGGCGAATGACTTCTGGCAGAGAACTGGGGACCTTGGCACTGACCCTTTCCTCTGCCCTGAATGCTTTTCCTATCCTGGGATTTCATCTAGACCTCATGCAGGCCTCTGCCTGTTGTCAAACCCTAGTGTTTCTCAGGCCCTATGTTGTCCGTTAATTAGAAGCTTTGAAAGCAGAGCAGCGGGGCTCTCAGCTTTCACCTCTGCCCTGCACCTGGCACAAAGCCACAGTCCACAAGGACCGAGAGAGTGCATCACTGGCATCATCTCTCTCTTTCTTTATAGGTGAGGTGACCAATCTGGCTGCCAGAGTGAATGTGCCAGCCTGGGTGAGGAACAGAGACTGGTGAGCAGCCTGGGGTCTGTGCATGCTGAGAGAGGAGACACTGTGCCTCCGTGTAGAGGAGCGTGAGGTTCGGGGCCTGAGAGCCTCCCTCTTCCGTGATCCAGAATTTCTAATTCCCTTTTATGGGGCTTTTACTGAAGCAAGGGGGAAGCGATGAGCCCCTTCCCACCAAGGTTCCCCATCTGCAGTGTATCCAGGGCTTTTGTGTCACTGGGCCCAAAATGCCTGATAGAAACACCTTAATAATGGGAGAGGCGTTTGGGCTTTTGGCAAGGATACAGTGCAAAGTGCCTTCATCTGGTGGCAAAACTGTGAGCTAATAACCGTTTACAACCGGTTTACAACCTGATCAGTTACAGCTGATCAGGAAGCTGAGAGGGTGAGTGTAGGGATGGAGCTATGTCCTCCAAAGGTCCTAAAGACTACATAACCTCAGCCAAGTGGTGGTACCACAAGCCTTTAATCACAGCACTCAGGAGGCAGAGGCAGGCAGATAGCTGAGTTCGAGGTCAGCCTGGTCTACAGAGTGAGTTCCAGGATGGGCTACAAAGCTACACAGAGAAGCCCTGTTGAAAAAAAAAAAAAAAAAAATCAAAAACGATTTCTTCAAATTGGTGTTATTTTGTAAACAGAGGCAGCTGATTGATTTGCCATTTTGTGATTGATCCTAGCAGAGAATTTGGTGTCTAGGCCCCTATACAGCATATGGGGAAGAGCTGGGTTTCTGTAGGCTCTGCCCCAAGAGGAAACCAGTCTGACCTTGAGTTGTTGGATTGTCACAGTGTAACAGAGGCCACCAAAGAGTTTTGTCATCCTCCTTATTTCTCTTCTTGCCTGTGAATAGCCTGCTAGGACCTGACTGACACCCAAGGCCATGGAGCAGCCAGCTGGAGACACCGGAAGCCTGAGGCCGGTGGCTGGTGACGATGGCAGCATGGAGCTGGGCACCTGCCATGAGCTTCTGCACCGACTTCGGGAGCTGGAGGTATGGTCAACGGTGCTGACCAGGACCCTGGGGAATCCAGGCTACCCACTCAGGGCTCAGTGTGGAGAAGGCCTGCCTGGCTGCAGGAGGCTAGACATTTTAGTGAAGTTTCCCTGAGAATCTCTTCCTTCTTTGTCATGATCCAGCTCAGGTGGCAGCTAGGAAACAAGACACATGCAAAGGGGTGAGCTATCCTATACCCCAAGTGTCTCCCCACCCATAATTTTATGGCCCTGCTGGCTTCAGGGAAAGTGGTGGTCACAGAGACTACTGAATAAAACAGTCAGATGATGTAGGGCCCAAGAGTTGACAGACAAGGTAAGCTCATCCACCCTGCATCCCTTTCCCTGAAGGAAGAATAAGCTGCAAAAGTTCCCTTTTTCCATCTCCCCGGTGTAGGCCGAGAACTCAGCGCTTGCCCAGGCCAATGAGAACCAGCGGGAGACTTACGAACGCTGTCTGGATGAGGTCTGTGGGGTGTGCCAAAGGACAGTGCTGGGGACAGGGATGGGTAGACACAACGCCAGCTCAGCTCCTGGGTTTTCTGTCCCCAGGTTGCCAACCACGTGGTGCAGGCGCTACTGAACCAGAAGGTGAGTGGGTTCAGGAAGCAGCTTATAACCCCACCCAACTGCCCCGAGACAGACCCAGGATATAGTCAGGAGAGCTATCCTGGGACTCCAGAGGCCTGCACAGTTAACCCTTCCCAGGGAACTAGGGAGAGGGCTAGGAGGAGCCTGGGAGGAGCTTGCCTTTGTCCCTCCCTCCACTTGGCCAGCCTCTACCGCCTCTGGCTGGTCCATTTTTCTCTATCAGGAGGCAAGGGAGGGTAGGTAAAGGCAGATCTGGTCTCTGAACTATAGGAACTTTGGTTTGGACTCAATGCCTTCCATTATGCTGATTTCTCTAGGTTGTGATGATCAAAACAGTGCTGATGCTATGAGCCCAGGTAGCCTTGAAATGTTTTCTGAGGATCACTGTGACACCGGCCACTTTGACTTCAGGCTCTTCCATGTCTTATGACCTTTTTTTTCCCCCCTTGACATGATTTGTAAGAGGGAGGAAGCCAGCTCCAAAAATGGTGAAAATGGCAGAGACACTGGCCTTTGCCGTCTGTTAGGATAGTATACCTAGAGGACTCGCCGCCCCGGGCTGTGGCTGTGGATGCAGCTGGCCAGGGTGGGGACGTCTGCTCATTTCACTGTTCCTCTCCTGCTTCCTCACCTGCGCGGCCTCCTGGATGCACAGGACCTGCGGGAGGAGTGTATCAAGCTGAAGAAGAGAGTGTTTGATCTGGAGCGGCAGAATCAGATGCTAAGCGCGCTGTTGCAGCAGAAGCTGCAGCTCACCGCCAACTCCCTCCCTCAGGTGGGCACACACTTCTCCCTTCTCCCCAGAGCCAGCATCTTCGGCCCGCTGGTATCAGCACTCCATTCTGCTCACCTCACAGGAGCAGAGTGTGAGCCTGTGGCCGTGTAGGGAAGGCCTTTCCAGACTGACAGACTTTGGCTGAGGGGAAACTCACTGAGTCCCCCTACAGACTTAGCTGTCACCCTGTCCCCAGGTTCTCCCTGTTCAGCCAAACAGCATCCTTTGTTGTTGTTGTTGGACGGGGTCTTGCTCTATAGCCCTGGCTGACCTTAAACTTGGGGCAGTTTTATCTTGCCTCAGCTACCCAAGTACTGAGATTAGAAATATGGCCCTCACTCCCTTCGTATCCCTTTTTATTGACAGAGAAAATTCACATTTGCTCCAGTCCTGTGTGGGGATTTGGGCGGAGGCTACAAATGCAGTTATTTCCAGCTCCCTGGAGGCCCCTGTGGCCACTGACGTGGTTTCTTCCTGGCCAGGGACAGGGCAGGGCTAAGCATAAGCAACCCACAGCTTTGTGTTACAGAGAGGACAAGAAAGGCTCATCGCCATGGTAACAGGATGTACACGGCTGCACATAGTGGCCTCTGGCTCATGCCTTCATGGGGGCACTGGTTTCTGCTGGCAGCCTGGACCCTGCCTGCCCTGGGAACAGTGGAAGGCTCTGGAAATAGGTCCAGGATTCAGGTGTCACTGATGCCACTCTGTCAGGAACCCCAAGGATGGGGTGAGACACAGAGAGATCGAGAGAGGTCTAGAAGTTGAGGACAGTGGCAGGTTGTTTCTGAGGGGCAGCCAGCCCCTTACCCCATCTTGACAAGAAAAGAAGTACTTTAGCAGGGAGGAGCTGAGCCGTGTCCGTCTGAACTTGTGTGTCTGAATACCCGGCCTGGTGCCTAGCCCTGAACTGGTCCCTATCATCAGGAGAGAGTCAGTTGTTCCTGCTCTGCTGTAGTGTCACTGTAGGAGTCACCCCCGGGGACCCCAAGGTCTTAGCCATCACCAAGCTTCCTCAACTTCAGTGACTGATAACGGAACAGAGAGCAACCTTAAGTCACTTAAAAAAAAAAAAAAAACTCAATGAACTCTGAGACCACTGAGGGTTTGGTCCAGTAGATCTATTTTAAGTTACCGTGATGCAATGGAAAATTACAAATCTTCGCCTCAAATAAACTAGGGTTGGGTTTCTAACTGAACTGCTTCTTAGCTAAGTGTGACCTCAGGCAAAATATCAAACTATATAAATTGTAGGTTTTTCCCCTTATATATAAATGGGCATAAAAAATACTTGCATCACATGTTGTTGCAAGGATTAAATGAGATAATATATAGTTCTTGGTCCACAGTCAGTAAATGACAACAATTTAGTGTTATTAATGTGATTCCCAGGGTGTGCTTCTCTGGGTTGAAAGCTAATTATGCTTTTCTTGTGAGCCATGCCTTTGCCAATGCCCTAGGAACTGAACTGAATTTCAAGGCCCTGTGGATATTGTATCCTGTGCTGGGTGGGTGTGGCCCTGGAAGGCTGAGGCCACTAAGAGGCATGTCTATTGACAACCCTGCTACAGTCAAGTGTGGCAGTGCTATGTATCCCAGGACGGGGGGCAACTAGCCTTCAGAAGGACTAGGAGGCCCAGGGAAATGGCTTAGTCAGTGGTATTATCACACTTGGGCAAATGTTAGGGCTTGTGTTTAATGATGCAGTGCACTTATAATTCAGGCTCTGGGGAGTTAGAGACAGGAAGATCCCTAGGGCTCACTAGCCGGCCTGCTCATTGAGCCCTAGGTCCCAGTGATGGGCCCTGTCTCAAAATCCAAGGCAGATGACTCCTGAGGAACAGCATTGGCATGCATCTGTGCGTGAGCATGCATCAGCGCAGGCGTACATACAGCACACGCGCACACACACATGCACACGCACACACACACGCACATGCACACACACACACGCACACACACACACACACACACACACACACACACTTAAGGTTCCTGTATGGAAATTAAATTGGACCTGTGTGTAGGCAGAAAGGAGAATGATAGCGAGTGTAGATGGTGTGGAGAAGGAGTTCCCCCATGGAAAGAACAGGAAGAGGGTGGCACACTGTCATTTTGGCTAGAGCAAAGGATGTGTGAAAGGATGGCAGCTGACAGGAGCTGGAGGGCTGTCTTGAAGGACCTGCAGCCTAGAGGGAGCAGATCTGCAGTGGGCAGAAGCCAGGAAAGAAGGCTCAAAAGTAATTTAGGAAAAGGATGTGTTAGCTTCCTTGTGCAAGACTAAAGAGCCTGAAGGGGGTCTGGACTGGGTCAAGGAGGGTCACTGGAATGCCAAGTGCTGTCCAGGCCAGAAACAGGAAGATCTGGGCTGCAAATGGCCAGAAGTGAGGCCCGGATGCTGCAGGGGTGTGAAGGCTGTGAGGGCTGAGGGTGAGTGAAGGGTTAAAGCTGACTCATTCCCATTCTGCATGCAAGGAGAATTCAAATTCCCTAAGACTGTGAGAGTGAGATGGGAAGCCCAGAATTAGACCTTCCCTGTTAGAACTTGAAAAGAAGATGTTCTATGAGACCATTGGGGAACACAGTATAATGGCTCTCTGCCTTTCCGTGTGTGTGTGTGTGTGTGTGTGTGTGTGTGTGTGTGTGTGTGTCTGTCTGTCTGTCTGTCTGTGTGTGTCTGTGTGTGTCTGTGTCTGTGTGTGCACGTGCATACCAGAGATCAACCTTGTGTGTGACACATCCTTTACACACTGTCCACCTTGTCCTGGAGGGATGTAGGAAAGGAAGAGGATGTCTCATTGGCCTTTTAATAACTGCAAGCTAGAAGGAACAGGGACATGCCACTGTGCCTGGCTCTTGTTTGTTTGTTTGTTTTTAACACATGGGTCCTGGGGATCAAAAAATTTAGGCTTCATGTTTCCATAGCAAGCACTTTACCTACTGATCTGTCTCCCCAGCTCAGCCTGCCTTCTCTAGCTTGTTTCTTTTGGTGTGTATATGTATGTGTGGTATGTATGCATGTGTATGGGCACATGTATGGATGCCAAAGGTTGGTGTGTCTTCCTCAGTTGCTCTCCCTACCTCATATTGAGGAAGGTGTCTCACTTGAACCCAGAGCTAGATGCTTTGGCTAGTCTATGTAGCCAGCTGGCACAGGGTGTCTCTCATGGGCTGGAATCACAGGTTCTCATGCCCTCCTGGCATTTATGTGAATGCTGGGGATCTGAGTCCTGGTCCTCACGTTGGTGTAGCTCTCTGCCCACTGAGCCATCTTACTTTCTTAAGCCCTTTCATCTCTGCATTCTCAGATCCTAGGTGATCAGAACAGGACCTTCATGGTTGTTTCCTTTGTAAGTGGGGGATGCAAAGTAGTGCTGGAGCCGAGGCAGGTACACTGGCTTAGACCCGCTACTGTCCTCTGAGCCTAGGACATCTTTCCCAACCCAAATCCACTGTGCTTGCTAGTCTGCTTTTCCATGCCACCTGGACCTGTTCTATCTTCAGATCTGCTTTTAGGCTTACCTTACTAGCAGAAGAGCCATTTCATGGTTGCTGGAGGGGCACAGTGTGTATGAATGCCTGGCTCTATGAGAGGACATTGACAACTGTGTGTCTCCATTCTTTCTGCAGATCCCACTCACCCCACTCCAGACACCATCAGAACCACCAGCCTCCCCATCCCTGAACGCTGCTGAGGGACTGGCCACCTCACTGCCTTTAGGACACTATGCTGGGCAAAGAGAGGTAGGAGGAAAGAATGTTGGAGTTTGTGCCTCACTGGCTAGAGGCTCCCCTGCTGGCTCTTAACAAGTCTAAGGGGAAGGGCTGGTTCCTATGCACAGACTCCAGTCCAGGCAGTAAGTGTGAGCCCTCAGCTCAAGACCAAGAAAAAGAGACCAGCCCCTTCCCACCCCACCCCCCAGCCATGGCCTGCAAGCAGATGTATGAAGTCACACAGCAGGAGTCGTAACACTCACACTTGCAGACTCATTCCATGCTGGGTACTAACTGCAGGACACCTTGGCGCTCTTTTCTCTTATGGGCTAGGTGTAATCACTATCTCATTTCACACCCAACACCCGGAAACTTAGGGGTCAGATGACACTGAAGGTCCTGTAAATGAGGACCTGGATTTGACCCACTCTGACTCCAGAATACAGGTAGTTAGCCATTGTAGCAGAGCAAGAAAGGCCTGCGTCGCAGAGAAGGGTTTGCATGGGGTCATCAGCAGGTCCTCTTGCCTGCTGGTTGGCCGACTGGGGAAGGCCCAGGCTCGCCTGCAGTGAATGACTTAGGTCTTGGCTATGAAACACCCTTCTCTTGAATATCTGTTCTTTCTGGATCCAGAAAACCAGGCAGACCTCCCTCCATGCTGGAACATAGAGGTCACAACTGTAGCTGGTCAGGCCTAGCAATGTAAAGAGCCATGGGGATGGGAGACTGGACATAGGGTAACCAGTCTACTCCAAGTGTGAGGTACAACGGGCTAAGCAGGGCTCAGCCACCCTTGAGGAAGCTGAGCCATCATATCCTAAGAGCTGCGAATTCATTTGTGGGCCAGACTAGGCTGTTCCTAGGATAGTCTCTTACATTTATCTTAAGGCCTGGGCCTTACATGCCAGGCACGCACAGTCCCTTCCTCATGCCTTCTTTCCCCCCAGGTGTGTTGGGAACAGCAGTTGAGGCCAGGAGGCCCAGGCCCCCCAGCCACTCCACCCCCGGTGCTGGATGCCTTGTCCCCATTTCTTCGGAAGAAAGCTCAAATATTAGAGGTGCTGCGCGCCTTGGAGGAGACTGACCCTTTGCTCTTGTGCTCATCGGCCAACCCCTGGCGGCCCCCAGGCCAGGGCCCCAGCTCCCCAGAGCCCATCAATGGCGAGCTCTGTGGCCCACCGCAGCCTGAGCCCTTGCCATGGGCTCCCTATCTGCTGCTTGGCCCTGGGAGCCTAGGAGCACTGCTGCACTGGGAGCGTCTCCTGGGGGCCTCTGGGGAAGAGGGAGGCATCCGGCAACCCTGGGCCCCTAGCAGGGCCCCACCACCACCCCAGGGCCCCAGCTCTGGCCCACACTGTGCCCCAGGCAGTAGCTCCTCCTCCTCTTCTGATGAAGCAGGTGACCCCAATGAAGCACCCAGCCCTGACACCCTGCTAGGTGCCCTGGCCCACAAGCAGGTGAATCTGGGCCAACTCCTTGAAGACACAGAGACTTATCTCCAGGCTTTCCTGGCTGGGGCTGCAGGCCCTCTCAATGGCGACCACCCAGGTGCTGGGAAGCCATCCTCACCAGATCCAGGAGCCCCACAGCTTTCCAAGTCCAAAGGCCTCCCAAAGTCAACTTGGGGTGGGGGTACCCCAGAGGCCAGCAGGCTGGGATTTGGTGCTACCTCAGAGGGCCAGGGGCCCCTCCCCTTCCTCAGCGTGCTCATGGGTGCCGGGGATGCCCCACCGGCTTCACGGCCTGGCCATGTCCACTCTTCATCTCAGGTGAAAAGCAAGCTCCAAATTGGGCCCCCTTCACCCGGGGAAGCCCAAGGACCCCTTCTGCCCTCTCCAGCCAGAGGTCTTAAGTTTCTCAAGCTGCCTCCAGCCTCAGAGAAGGTCCCCAGCCCAGGAGGCCCCCAACTCAGCCCCCAGCTCCCCAGGAATTCTCGAATCCCCTGTCGCAACAGTGGCTCAGATGGTAGCCCCTCTCCACTCCTGGCCCGCAGGGGTCTGGGTGGGGGAGAGCTGTCCCCAGACGGGGCACAGGGCCTGCCCAGCAGCCCTTCACCCTGCTCTACAATCCCAGACTCTGTGCAGCTTAGACCCTCCCAGTCATCTGTGTCCACTACACTGTCTCCAGGACCAGCAGCATCTCCCTGCTTTGAAAACATTCTGGACCTTTCCCGGAGCGCCTTTAGAGGGTCTTCCCCAGAGCCGACTCCATCCCCACTACAGATGCCCGCCTACTCACAACTGACTCTGGAGGTACCCCAGGCCCCTGAGGTCCTCAGGAGCCCTGGAGCCCCCAGCCCTGGCCTCTCAGAATCCTGCCCCTATGGGAATCCCCAGGACAAGAGTCTGGACAAGGCAGGTTCTGAGTCTCCCCATCCCAGCCGCAGGACTCCAGGTGGCTCATCCAAGAAGCCTGGCCAGGGATCAGGGCGGCGACCTGGTGATCCTAGCCACACACCTCTACGGGACAGATTGGCAGCCCTTGGCAAACTGAAGACAGGCCCCGAGGGGCCTCTGGGTCTAGAAAAGAATGGAGTGCCGGCCCGGCCTGGCACTGAGAAGACCAGGGGACTGGGACGGTCAGGTGAGAGTACTGGAGACATGCCCACCAGCACGAGGCCTCTTGAACAGACAGAAGCTAAGGGCATCCTGAGGGGAGCCGTGGCCTTAGGCACAAGCAGCCTGAAGCAGCAGGAACTGGGACTGACGGACCCTGGGACCCGAGTCTATTCCTCCCACTCCATGGGCGCTCGGGTGGACCTGGAACCCATCTCACCAAGGAGCTGCCTCACCAAAGTGGAGTTAGCCAAGAGCCGGCTGGCAGGGGCTCTGTGTCCCCAGATGCCCCGCACACCCGCAAAAGTGCCAACCCCAGCCCCTAGCCTGGGCAAGCCCAAGAGCCCTCACAACAGCCCAACAAAGCTACCCTCCAAATCACCCACCAAGGTGGTGCCCCGACCTGTGGCACCCTTAGGTGCCAAGGAGCCCTCCAAGGCTGACAAAGGCCAGGCTACACCCCCAGTACCTGGCCCCACTGACCCAAGCCAGGGCTCAGGAGGCCCAGCCCCACACTCAGCCATTGAGGAGAAGGTGATGAAGGGCATTGAGGAGAACGTCTTGCGACTTCAAGGTCAGGAACGGACACCAGGCTCTGAAGCCAAGCACCGCAACACTAGCAGCATTGCCAGCTGGTTTGGCCTTAAAAAGAGCAAACTGCCAGCTCTGAACCGCCGCACAGAAACTACCAAGAACAAGGAAGGGGCCAGTGGGGGCTCCCCACTCCGGAAAGAAGTCAAGACAGACACCCGGAAGCTGGAGGCTGAGAGCCTCAACATCTCCAAGCTGATGGCTAAGGCAGAGGACCTACGCCGGGCACTCGAGGAAGAGAAGGCCTACTTGAACAGCAGAGCCCGCCCACGGCCCTCAGGCCCAGCCACAGTGCCTGGCTCAGGTCTGGGGCAGGTGCAAGGCCAGCTAGCTGGCATGTATCAGGGTGCGGACACCTTCATGCAACAGCTCCTGAATAGGTGAGAGCCTGGGACCAGTTGGTAAATACTCAGTGGGCTGGGGCTACCCTGGGAGTTTGGACTTCCCAGAGGTCAAGGGAGAATCCAATGCCACCAAAGCCTCTGAGCTGGTGACCTGACCAAGAAGGAGGGTTAGGATTCAGAAGTATGTGGTTTACACACACACACACACACCACCCCCTCACCTTCCCCTCAACCCCTCACCCCCCACCCCTGTCCTCCTCCTCACTGGCTGGTGTCAGGCTCAGAAAGGCTAGCTCTCTCCACATACTACCACTACCTCTCTGCTCAGGTGCCTGCATATGCTAACTGAATGTAATTAAGTGAATGCCCCTCCTAACTAGACCGATGGAAGTCCATCTCAGGGAGGGGGCAAGAAAGATCCCTTTTGACTCCTGCCACTAAAGAGAGTCATGGTTTAGGGAAGAGCACCCACTTACAATGTTTTCTCCCATAGTGTTGTGGAATGAAATGGGGAGTATGCTTAGGTGACCCTGTTGGTATCTGTCTCCCTCTGAAAGCCACCAATCATAGGGTCTTTACCCTAATGACCAGGCCTAATCCTAGTCACTTCTGAAAGTTCGTACCTCTGGAAGCATCTTCATCTTTTGTTTGTTTGAAACAGGCTGTCCTGAAACTCCCTGTGTAGACTGGGCTGTCCTGAAACTCCCTGTGTAGACTGGGCTGACCTCCAGTTCAGAGTTCCACCTGCCTCTGCCTAGTGCTAGAATTAAAGGTGGGCAGCCCCATGCCTGACAGAGTTCCCATCTTTGTGTTTTTGTTTTTGTTGTTGTTGGTGGTGGGGGGTGTTTTTTGAAATAGAGTTTCTCTGTGTAGCCCTGGTTGTCCTGCAACTCGCTCTGTAGATCAGGCTGGCCTTGAACTCACAGAGATCTGCCTGCCTATTAAATGTGTGTGCCATCACTGCCACCTGGCCAGCATTTCCATCGTAATAGCTCATTAGGAAGGGCACATTCCAACACCGGAAGCCTTGGGAGAACTCTGGCTAACGCTGGACCTTAGCAGATCCTAGGCACCGACTTCCTCACATCCATTGTGCTGTTGTCCCTAGGGTGGATGGCAAGGAGCTGCCTCCCAAGAGCTGGCGGGAGCCCAAGCCTGAGTATGGGGATTTCCAGCCAGTGTCCACTGACCCTAAGAGTCCCTGGCCTGCCTGTGGGCCCCGGAATGGCCTGGTAGGCCCACTTCAGGGCTGTGGAAAACCTTCTGGAAAGGTGAGTTCTTAAGCAAGGGCTACGTTGAGGGCACCTGGAAGCTGCTAGTCTGTGTAGTGCCTACCACTTGGCCTCCCATACCCCCAGAAGCACTGTGGGGGACCTGGGAGAGTCCCTGGAATGGACACTCAGATCTCCTGTACCCACACAGCCCAGCAGTGAGCCAGGTAGACGGGAAGAGATCCCTTCAGATGTCAGCCTGGCGGAGCCTGTTTCCACCGCACACTTCACAGGTGAGCAGGGTCCCCTTCCCACATCACTCCCTGTCACCACAGCAGTGCCAGGTCCAGAGTGACATCTTGGTGCCCAGCCCTGGGTTGGGATGAAGATTTCAGTGGCTGCATAGGAATAATGGAATAATTCTCCCTGCCCTGCCTGAGGGGCACCTGGATCAAGCTGAGAGAGAGTTGCAGATGGGGCGGCGAGTTCTGTGGCACGAGCCTTTTGGGCCAGGAAGACTGAGTGGGACGTCCTGAAGCTGGGGACTAAGCCTGAGCCTCATACTTGTGTGCATCCTCTCCACAGCCTGTGGCTCCTTGACTCGAACCTTGGACAGTGGCATTGGGACCTTCCCACCCCCAGATCACAGCAGCAGTGGAACCCCCAGCAAGAATCTCCCCAAGACCAAGTCACTGCGCCTGGAGCCTCCTCCTGGGGCACCCCCAGCTCGGCCTCCAGCTCTCACCAAAGTCCCTCGACGTGCCCACACACTGGAGCGGGAGGTGCCAGGCATTGAAGAGCTGCTGGTGAGTGGGCGGCACCCCAGCATGCCAGCCTTTCCTGGACTGCTCACTGCTCCTTCAGGCCACCGAAGCCATCAGACCTGTCCTGATGGTGAGTGTCCCAGCAGGTGTTAGGACATCTCCAAGAGGATCCTTAGAGCTAGGCAGGCATCCACTCTCCCCTTCCTTCTCTTGGACAGATTCCTGTGAAGACCCAGGCCCTCCCCCACCTGTCCAGCTGGCCAAGAACTGGACCTTCCCCAACACCCGAGCAGCTGGCAGCTCCAGTGACCCCTTCCTGTGCCCACCCCGACAGCTGGAGGGACTGCCTAGGACCCCCATGGTAAGCTGACAGAAGGAAGAAGAAAAAGGTCTGGGGGACAGAGGGGAGTGACACTGAGAGACAGATGTCCCTGGTAAGGCATGCTTACAGCCTGAACCTCCAGAAGGTGAGGGTAGGCCTGCCCACCCAGCCCATTTTGGGAGAGGGCTCCCATTACTCCCTAGAACCGTGGAAGGACCGTGCATCGTCAGTTAGCTAACACCAGTCTGTCTCCAGGGCCGCTCAGCAGCCCAGGTGTGTAGGATGCTCTCTCAGTAGTCCTTCTTCTCTAGGCCCTGCCTGTGGACCGGAAGCAGAGCCTGGAGCAAGGCCGCACATCTACGCCTCAGGGCCCAGCATTTGGGGGCAGTCGTACCCCCAGCACGTCGGACATGGGCGAGGAAGGCAGAGTGGCCAGTGGGGGAGCTGCCGGGCTGGAGACCTCAGAGTCCTTAAGTGACTCACTCTATGACTCACTGTCCTCCTGTGGGAGTCAGGGCTGATGGACCACACCCACTACGGTTCCTCCGGAGCTGGAACCCCAGGCTGGGCCTACCTGGGCCTACTTTCACGATCCATGCCTTGGAGCCAGTGAGGCTCCATCTGAAGGGACCAAGGAAAAGGTGAATAAGAAGGTGACAGGAGTCCCTGGCATACCCCACTGCTGCTGTGGATGAGACAACCATGCTCAGCTCAGGGAGAGACCTCACCCCTGGTCCCTTGACTCCCAGAGTCAGGCTCTTCTCTAAGGGACTGGGGGCCCCAGGCTGCTTTGTCCCAGCTCCCACTTCACGCGGAGCCATCTTGTGGTGCTGGGCTTCCTGCCCGCCAACTCTGCCCAACCCGGCTGCAACCCTGCCCCAGAGCCCCCATGGAGCCAATTTTGGAAGCCCCAGGCTTGTGGAGTTTGGGGATGAGGGGGACGAGTTGCCTTCTCTCTTTGCCCTGGTCCTCCCTGCTGTCTGAATGGTGCTGCCTCCCTTCCCCACGTCTTTGGGGTCTGTTTGTCTGTCTTCATCTTTGTTTTTATATATATATATACACACATATATATAAAGGCGCCTGGTTCAGTCCCCACACCCAACCCGCATTGCGGTTAATTTATCTGTTGTTAAAAAGCGGCTGCTCTGCTTCCAGCCTCCGCTCCTGCAGTAACCCTAATAAAACGTGGAGGCCTCTCCCCACTGTGACTGTTGTGTGCCATCATCTCCCTTCATGCCAGCTGACAGGACCAGGTGGGGCACAAGGCTGGGCAGCCTTGGAGAGAGAGATGGGGAAGAGGATTGTGGCACTGCACTCAAGCCCCTCCGAGTGCCAGCTGGGCAATAGGCCAGTTAAGAGCAGCCTCTCTGGCTTTGCATGAAGAGAGAGCAGTCCGTGATTGCCCAGGCAGAAAGGGGAGGAGCCTGGTAGGAATGTTCTCACACTTTACACACCGTGCTGTCTTCCAGCTTACAAACCATCCCCCTATGGCTGTGGAGGACCTTTATCACCAAAGCTGCCGTTTTAAAAAACAGATCACTACAAAACTCTGTATTCCTCATCTGTGTATTAGATTGTGCTAGGCCAGGTGGTCCCCGCAGCTACTTTCCCCTTAATGTTCTGCAACCCATCCACATCTGGCCTCTCCCGTGCCCTTAGTTGATGTCATCATTGAAGAAATTAACAAAAGCCAGAACAGGGTCTGATGATAACAGTTTTGTGTAAGTTTGCCAGCCTTCGTGTCCCTGCCTCTTCCTAAATGGGCTGAAGGAAGTCTGCTGCCCCCTGGCTTGCCTCTTGTCCTACTATTGGCTAAGCCGGATGTGTTACATCATTTCCTATTAAACTGCCTTGGCCTTCAAGAGCCCATTCTTTTCTGGGATGGAGTTTGTCATGGTAGGCTTGAGCCTCATCTCTTTCCCTTCAAGGCTAAGACCAAAGGATCCTTCCACATCCTCATCAGGGTCTGCTCAGTTTGCTCCTGAGCTCTGTTCTTGGGAATTTGAAAATACCAGGTACCCCCATGGTCCTGGGACAGTGTGAGTTGACTGGAGAAATGTCCCAGGCCGTATGGGCCATGACCGTGCCAGGAGGCAGCCCTATCCACCATGGTTCTGCCTGATCCTCTGCAGGCTCCTGTCCTAAACAGCTGCCACCCACAGCCATACCATGCCCACCTCCCCTCAACCCCAGGAGGATCCAGTTCCAACTGAGACAATTGGTGGGAGAAGCATGTGTTGAGTTTATTGCTACTCCAGGGGACCCCTTCTCTTAGGCTTCGAGGAAGGCCTTGGCTAAAAACCTCCTTGATCCCTGGCTGAGGCAGAACACTTGGTATCTCAGTGTGCAACAGCTGCTTGCAAAGTTACTGTGACCTCACTCCTAACTCAAGAACAATGGACAAATGTTTGCCTTTGCAGAGTGCAAGACCTCGGCTGGCTTTCCCGAACACAGGAAGCTCAGATGCCAGACACCTGCCCTTCCCCCAAACAGCAGGCTATTAGCAAAGGGGCTCTACTTGCCACCGGCTTCCTTTGCAGGACATCCCAAAATGTTCACTGAGCTTTTTCTCAGGGATGCCAGCAGTTTCATTTTCTTTCCCTATCTATAGTTTGTTTTTGTTTTTCACATAGTATGTTTTGTTTCTTTTACCAAAAAAAAAAAAAGCTTAAAAAAAGAAAGTCATACTCAGCAGCAAACTCTAGACAACCTCTTTCCTCTAGACACCCTCTTCTAGTATACTCTCTTAGACTCTGGACACCCTCCTTCCTCTCGATCTTCCCTTACTCTCATTACCCTCCCTGAGTCTAGATACCCACCTTCCTCTCTGAGGTGCTTCAAGTGTATACTATCTTAAAGACACAAGTTCATAGTAGGTACTTGGGCAAGGCTTGTGATTTTAGGGGCCAACTTTTTTTTTTAACTTTCTAATTATTAAAAACATGCAAATTTGGACTGGTTCACAATCATCTGTAACATCAGTTCCAGGGTCTTGCTGTGGAAACATTAGGACCCTAGTTAGGATATCTGACCTACATAAAAGCCAGATGTGACCAGGCATTGGTGGTGCACACCTTTAATCCCAGCACTCAGGAGGCAGAGGCAGGCAGATCTCTGTGAATTTGAGGCCAGCCTGGTCTATAGAGCTAATTCCAGGACAGCCTCCAAAGCAATAGAGAGAAACCCTGACTTGAAGAAAAAAAAAAAAACAACAACAACAACAACAAAACAAAACAAAAAGTGAAAGTGTGTCTATAATCTAACCTCAGCCCTCGTGTGGGGGAAGAAACAGGCAGGTCTCAGGGCTTGGTAAGTACCAGTCTGGTCAGATGATGAGCTGTAAGTTCAATAAGAGACTGTCTCAATAAATAAGAAAGCAAGGCCTGTCAGTGATGGTGCACACCTTTAATCCCAGCACTTAGGAAGTAGAAGCAGGTGGATCTCTGTAAGTTCCAGGCCAGCCTGGTCTACAAAGTAAGTTCCAGGACATTCAGGACTGTCACACAAAGAAACCCTGTCTCAAAAACCAATAAAACAAACCAAACTAGAAAGCTGGTAAAACGGCTTAATGGGAAAAAGTGCTTCTTGTGCAGGCCCAGCTTGAGCTCAGCACCCAGATTTCACAGTGCAAGGAGAGAACCAACCCCTGAACATTATCCTCTGACTGCCCCACAGACTGTGGCATACACACTCATACACAGCACAGGTACATCCATGCTAATCATAAACTCAAGTGTTTACAAAAGCCAAGCGGAAGGCTGGGATTGGAGTTGTTGGTAGGGTTGGTATGTGCTCAGCGAGCATGGGTGAGGCCTTGGAGTGCATCCCTCGCATCAGTAAATCCTTGTGTGGTACTGTGTACCCATACTCTTAGCACTCTGGCAGTGGAGGCAGGAGGCTGGTCAAGACCTGCCTAGGATACAGGAGACACTTAGCTAGAGAAGGCCCGGGTCCACTTGATCAGTTAGGGGTTTATAATAGATGTATATGTAATAACAAGAAGAAAAAGGAACCATGAATTTCAAAGAGAGTATAGGAAGTCTTGGAAGGAGAAAAGGGAAGGGGGGAAATGATATAATTATGATCTCAAAAAAACAAAAGATGAAAAATTCAAGGAAGTAGATGAGTGGAAAGGGAGGCCTAGTGGAAAGGGAGGCCTAGTGGATGGCATAGACCAAGGCTGAGGAAGTTTAGGCAACAGGGTCTCTGCAGGCTTTGTAGTTCCGGCTGGGTTGGAACTCTTCATCCTCCTGCCTCAGGCTGTAGTTTTGATGAGATCTGAAGTCAGTGTTTGAGCCGGTCAGAGGTTAAAGCCGGTCTATAGAAGGGCTGTGATTCAAGCAAGACCTTACAGTGGGGCCAGAGAGATGGATCGGTCAGGGGAGAAGATCAAATGAGGCTCTTCCAGAAAACCAACTTTGGTACCCACACTGGATGACTCACAACCACCTGTAAATCTCCCTCCTGAAGGATCTGTTGTCTCTGGCCTCTCCAGGCACCTACACTCATTTGCAATCCCCCCCAAATATACAAACATACATACATATAATAATATGTATGTGAGAAAGATGGTCTCAAAAAACAAAAATAAGAAAACAACAACAGCAAGGAAATAATCTGAAAGCTGAGGCAGGAGTACCAAGCCAAGACCACACACACACACACACACACACACACACACACACACACACACGTTGCTACTCAGTGGCAGGACCCTTGCATAGCAACAACGCCCTGATTTGGTCCTAATGCTGAAAGATGAAGGAGGGAAAGGAAGACAAGGAAGCGTGGGCTGACTCCTGAAGTATGGGCGAGGAATGACTGACAGGATGGTGAACCAGAAAGGATCTTTCCCATCTCACACCACTGACATGAGGCAGGGGTGAAAATTGCCAGAGGAAACCCAAAGGTTTCAAGATGAAGTGGTTGAGAGCAGATGCGTGGGCAGGAAGAAGGCAGCTAGGGTCTTATGGTGGAACAGCCATCAGGAAATTCAATTTAAAGGTGGTGGCCCATGCCTTTAATCTCAGCACTAGGGAGTCAGAGACAGACAGATTTCTATGAGTTCGAGGCCAGCCTGATCTACAGATCGAGTTCCAGGACAGCCAGAGCTACGGAGAAACCCTGTCTGGAAAAAAATTTAAATTTTGATTCTTGCCTAGTGGAAGCCAAGCAGGGGCGTTTCTCTAAGGTAGGAGGTCTCCTTGGAATACATTTTATTTATCTTTCTTTTTTTGAAGACAAGGTCTCACTATGTATCCCAGGCTGACTGTGAATTCATGACAATTTTCTTGTTCCTACTGTGTCCTCTCCAGATCTGAAAGCATAGGGCCACCAAACCAGACTTCCATTCTCTAAGCAACAACAAAAAAAATCCTTTCTTGGCAACTGAGACAATGTTGCCAGTAGATGGCACGAGAGGCAGCGTCACGGTTTGCCGGGGCTGCACTGCCATCGTGTGGTTATAAGCGGAGATACAGAGCATCCTCCACCTCTTGGACACCTTGGGTGGGTTTCGCCCCTGTCCATCTCACAGGGCTAGAGCTATCCCTGCCAGTTCTCTCCACTAACTTTGCATCATGGGAGACACATTTCCTACAGCCAGTCTCAACGTATTGGGGGCTGACAAGGCAGCTGGACAACTCTGCGTTCCTTGCAAACACTCGTGAGGCCAGGATTTTCTGTCCTTTCATCCCTTCTCCTTTCTTTCTTTCTTTCTTTCTTTTTTTTTTTTTTTTTTTTTTTTTTTTGTTTTTTTGTTTTGTTGTGTTGTTTTTTGTTTGTGTTTTTTTGTTTTTGTCTGTTTTGTTTTTGTTTTAGAGACAGGGTTTCTCTGTGACTTTGGAGCTTTGGAGGCTGTCCTGGGGAAATGAGCTCTTGTAGACCAGGCTGGTCTCAAACTCACAGAGATCCTCCTGCCTCTGCCTCTCGAGTGCGGGCATTAAAGGCATGCATGAGCCACCACTGCCTGGCTTGTTTGGTTTTTTTTAAATCCAGACTTGTTGCATCTGCAACAGACACTCACCGGGTAGTGGAAAGCACTGGGCAGTCCTCGGGTGGACACTGGGTGTGAGTGGCATTGTGGACCAGGGTGCGATTAAGGCACTGACACAGCCACCAAATTAGTTTTGGGATGGGGGTGGGGGGGTCTTTGAGAGGGTTTTCTAGACAGACTTAAAGGATGTTAATACACTCTGTGAGATTCCTG